ATAATAAATTGAAGCCTCATTTCCAGGGAAAAAACTATCCGGCCAGGAATCCTGGAGGTTTTTTGCCACCTTCTGAGCATGGAACAGCGGTCACTGGGGTGTGTGTGCGGGGGGGAGGTCTTTGTGGATTTCCTGCCTTGGGCAAGGGGTTGGACTAGATGACCCCGGAGGACCCCTTCCAACGCTTTATGATTCCATTATTCTATTTACATGCAACTGTTGCCAGCCTCCTCCAATGCGCCCTCTAAGCTGTGGAGGAGTCTCCTGAGCAAAAATCCTACTTTGTGAGCGACTGGCATTAAAGTGGTGAGCTGGCGATTTTTGGCTACTGCATAAATTATTTTGCTCCGGAGCCATCCTTCCTGAGCAAAGACAAAAATGTGTGAACCGGAGGCTAAGGAACTGTGAGCCGGAGGCTAAAGAGCTGTGAGCCGGAGGCTAAAGAGCTATGAGCCGGCTCACACTAAGTCAGCTCAGAGGGAACACTGGCAATGCTCCCTCTAAGATGTGGAGTCCTGTGAGCAAAAATTCTACTTTGGGTGCTCCTGGCATTAAAGTTGTGAGCAAGCTATTTGGCTACTGCATCAGTTAGTTTGCTCCGGAGCCCTCCTTCCTGAGCGGAGACAACAATGTGTGAGCCGGAGGCTAAAAAATGGTGCGCTGGCTCACACTGACTCAGCTTGCGGGAAGGGCGGGGTATAAGTTTGATAATAAGTAAATAAGCCGAAGAGCCAGCACTGTCCAAAGACTTCTCCGTGGTCATGTGGCAGGCACGACTAAACGCCGAGGCGCATGTATACACCAATGTAACAAACAACCATTCTGAAAATATAAATATATTGTATATAGTTTTCATTCATTTAGTGAAGGCGCCAGACTACAATCTTCATTTCGGATATCTTCTTCAAGAATATCATAAGCTCATGAATCATGGAGTTCAATACAGTGTAGTTTCTTCAGTCAAATTTCTAGGTCCAAAGAGACGGCCACCACCGCCACAATTTGCAAAAGGAACTACTCTCTATGGTTGCGAAGTGGGATAGGGATGCCAGCCTCCAGGTGGGACCTGGGGATCCCCTGGTACAGCTCATTTCCAGACTACAGAGATCAGTTCCCCTGGAGAAAATGGGTGGTTTGGAGGCCTCGTACCCCACTGAGGTTCATGTCCTCCCCA